TGAGTGACATCCCTGTCTCCTGGTGGCCTTCGTGGCCAGGGCTGTCGATGGAAATACAGTCTATTGTGTGTTCTCCTTTTGTATTGCTGTCATTAATCACACAGATACAGCTGGGTAAACTATCTTTCTCTCTCTCAATCATATAGACACACATTCAGAATCCATCACTCAGCAAAATCCATGCACACACTGCAGACAAACATAAACACACTCAGCCTTGGTCGTATCCAGACAGAACTAGCTTGGTTCTAGAGGTTTGGTCTGAGGGTTTGTCTGCTGGATGGAGTTGTCCGGCCTGCTGTTATCAAACAAAGTAGACGGCTACACTGCACTGCAGGGTGGAATACCAACACTGTGGGTGTATGTACAGTATGAGTGTGTGTGGTCTCATATTTTATGGCTTAGGAAAGGGTGTTTCATTGAGGAGAAGAGAAAAGAGGAGAGGTGGTGCCTGCAGGATTATATTTGATAATTATGCTTTAACTGCTTTCCCATTTCAGAGATATTTTATTTTGGTTTACTTCTTGCCCTGTGCCACTTCACGTGCCCTAGATTTACCTCAGTACTCAATCACCCTTTATTGTTTTCACCTGTTCTTGATTATGTCCCGGTCTGCCCTCAGTCCCTTGCTGGTCCATTGACGTTACTACGATCCTGACAATGCTGAAGAAACTCACTCTGTTCCTTGTTCCTGTCTGGTTTGCTCCTGATGACACTAGTACACTGTGTGAGTCTCCCTCAGCTCAGTGTCCAGTTCTTGATTATGTCCCGGTCTGCCCTCAGTCCCTTGCTGGTCCATTGACGTTACTACGATCCTGACAATGCTGAAGAAACTCACTCTGTTCCTTGTTCCTGTCTGGTTTGCTCCTGATGACACTAGTACGCTGTGTGAGTCTCCCTCAGCTCAGTGTCCACCACTCACCTGTGTTCCTCGTTCCTGCCTGGTTTGCTCCTGACTATCTGCCAGTGAGTTCCTGCATCCCCCAGCGACGCTGGTGTGTCCCCTGTCCCACATTTTCCATATGTATGTTCCTGACTCTCCAGATTCTATTCCGTGGTGCAGCCTCATCCCCACTCTGTCCGCCCCACATTTCCTGCCTCTGCCAGCCTGGTAAGAAACTCACTCTGTTCCTTGTTCCTGTCTGGTTTGCTCCTGATGACACTAGTACACTGTGTGAGTCTCCCTCAGCTCAGTGTCCACCACTCACCTGTGTTCCTCGTTCCTGCCTGGTTTGCTCCTGACTATCTGCCAGTGAGTTCCTGCATCCCCCAGCGACGCTGGTGTGTCCCCTGTCCCACATTTTCCATATGTATGTTCCTGACTCTCCAGATTCTATTCCGTGGTGCAGCCTCATCCCCACTCTGTCCGCCCCACATTTCCTGCCTCTGCCAGCCTGGTTCACCTGAGCACTCCCAGCACCACTGCTATACTTCTGTTCTCTGTATCCTAGCCTTTTAATAAAGACTTCTAAGTTTCTGCCTAGTTCCTGGTCCACATTTTCGGTCCTAACCCAGGATGCAGTATATACAGTATACACAAAATAACACATGGATGCAGCTCATGAGCTATGATAAATAAGAAATACCCTGCACACGTCTCTGTGATGGTATGGGCATTAATGACAGCAGGTAAAGTCAGTGTGTGCTGCTGTCACTCACTCCAAGCTGTGCAGGGCTCAGGTTAGAGAGTAGAAATGATGTAATCCACTTTAGGGGCATGCGATATAATAGTGCTTCAGGCCATAAATGCAAAACTTTATTCCTGTGTATAAGCTATATGTTGATTGTAAAAAGTCTGCCAGATGCAGTGGTGTAAAACTTGAGCAAAATCATTTTTAAAAAATGTATGCACAGTGGATTACGGCTGCAGGTGCCACTGGTATATATCATTGTGTGTTCACTAGCTGTCATGCTACATTCCTGAATAACAAGGAAAGGCAAATTTTTCACAGTCAAACTCCATAACTTCAGAGCCTGAAGGCACTCTGAACAAAAGGCATGAGGGATTATTGATAAAACTCCCCTGCAGTGTTGTTGTGGCATTATGGGCTGAACTGAAATGTTTTCTTAGTCTCAGTCTAAATATACCATCTGAAAGTAGCAGGTGGGGTTCTTTTGGGCAGTTTTTATGAAATGTGAAAAAATAATAGTGAAGGGGGAGAACAGTGTGACGTGGTAATGCACAAATCATCTGAGCAGGGAGGTCATACTGAATGGAAAACCACTTGCTTATTCTCTTGCTATATACACATGTTTGGGAGAAAAACACAGCATGATAGCACAAGCATAATTATGATTATGAATTACGAGATCATGGCATTACAGATATTAAAGTAATAATTGTTGGAGTGGTTTTTAAGGACCCCTTTCATCAATTTGTGTTCTGCCCTGAACTGCAAAAAAATAATGACATCTCCAACAAAATGCCTTTAAATTGTATCTTGTTATTTTATTCAAAGGTCTTGAGAGTACTACTGTATGAGCTACAAAGGACTGCCTTATTCCTTCACTCACAATTCCACCCTTTTGTTTATCCTCTTCTGCAGCTCTTCTCCATTGTGATCTTTGGCTGCATTGCTAATGAGGGCTACATCAACCGCCCCAATGAAGTGGAGGAATACTGCATCTTCAACCGCAACCAGAACGCCTGTAACTATGGCGTCTTTATGGGCTCCATGGCGTTCCTCTGCTGCATGGCCTTTTTGGCTCTGGACGTCTACTTCCCCCGGATCAGCAGCGTCAAAGACCGCAAGAAGGCTGTGCTGGCTGATATAGGGGTGTCAGGTACTGTAAATACAGTAACTACCTCACAAAATACTTGATTGTGTTTCTCTGTTTTTTGCCTAGTTTACATTTTTTCATTAAATACTATTCAGATTTCTGTAACTTCTGTAACCACCTTTAACACTGAACCAAAAACTGAACAAAATTTAAACAAGCAAGTTACATACCTAAAAATAATTTGATTTTTTTTCTATTTAAATATTTTTATTTTACCTATTTGTAATATATGTTAAATAAAACAGAAACTCGAACCCACCTTATGCAAGAAGGGTGACATTTTTAAATGTTTAAGTGGCGACTGGACAGCATGAGCAGAGAAACTGATGTATGAACGGTGGTCTAAAGGAACTGTGTAATGGGAAATTGATACTAATGTACCTGTGACATAATTTAGATTTCTGTAACACTTTCAAAACAGTTCCACAATCTGCCGAATAGCCTGTGAGGCAATAACACTTAAAATCTAATGAAATGAATGACTACAAGGCAATCAGAGAGCACCTGTCCCACTAATGTAGTTCTCCAACTTGCTATATCACCCAAAGACATCACTGCCCCAAGGTAGGAGGGGTGGGGCCTTTTACCAGACCAGGGGCCTATTGTTTCATAATCTGTGTTCTTAATTCGCTAATCAATGAAGCCATTGATAGTCAGTTCTGGCAGAGATACTGTAGCACATGGGGGAGAGATTCAGTAGCTTATCTTGTCAAAATAAAACCAGCTGAAAGCAGCTTTAACTTCTCAGGCTTGAATGATGTATACTGGATAATGCCTTTCAGAGTTCAGATGAGTGACATTCCTTCATCTGAGATTCAGTACAGGTGAACTAAAACAATGATTCCATAACAGTAAGTCATTTCAAACATTGGTGTTTTAGTACTGTATATTAAGAAAGGCCTGTCATATTTGGATTGGACTCAAAACAACAGTTGTGCCTGGACTGGATCATATCTGCAGCATAATACAGGAATAATATATTTCATGATAAACCAGCATTTAGTGGTTATATTACAGCAGCTCCAGACACAGTTAACTTTCTTATTGCCTTCACAATCTGAGCCTCAGTGGGTGGCAGTAACATGAACAGATCAAAACATTAGCAGAGTCTGCATTATCAGTCAGACGGACGGAGAGGTGAATAGGGAGAAGCAGGATCAGTGTGTAAAGTACTGGCCTTGCTTATTTAATGTAATGTAAATGCTTTATGAAGCATGTACAACTGCAGTGTCACACATAAGATACTGTATAAGTAGCTTGATTAGATTGGACTCTTATGTAACTGTTATACTACATATTGTGCTGTACATTATATATTGATCTATAAATGCAGAACAATGTGAATCTCAGATACAGTGTACTCCTTTAGCTTCGATTTTCAGGAAGAAGCTGCAAAAACATTAAGCATACTGGGAAACCATAACTAATTTTCAGAGGCAAGTTTTACATACACTACTGTGGCATGCTAAGGTTCTCAAGTAGAAAAGCCTCTTTAAAGGGTTGACTTCAGGTTGAACAGTAAGCCTCACTGCTAAAGGCTGGAGTATGCTTGCATCAAAGTAGTTTGTACAGTGCTGTTCGACCACAGCTAAAGGCTGTGGTGTTAGCCAAAGTGCTTGTAGCTTGTAAAAACGCCTGTTGTCAAGATGTTGTGATCTGTGGGAATAATGGCACACATGCTCATACCGGCTTTTATACATGCTCCTCCAATGCATTCATTGTGTTGCACTGTGTTGTATGCGTGAAAAGTGATATAATTGTGTGAAGGCTGTAAAGACAGCACTCTAGTGAGGAGTTATTGTCTCTGCAGTTATAGCCAATTACTATGTAAAATGGGCGTGGTTGTCGGAGTGCTGTCTTTGGAAAGTTACACAGATTGTCAGATGTACAGTAGTACCTTCAGGTTTGATCTTGGTTTGAAGCCTGACAAGCACTTTGTTTGAAGCATTAGAAGCACAAATAAAATAAGATTTGCATACTGTTAGTTTAATTGCCCCAGGAGAAGATGGGAGGGCGCCTCACACATCTATCTCATGGAATCTGCAGTACTATTAGCTTATCCGGTGGTTATAGGAACCACTCCAGCAAATTGAACAGCACAAAAGAGATTAAAAGACAGTATATGCTGTGTATCAGCATTGCTGTTTTCCCATCTCATACATTTCTACTCTTTCATAGCAGTTTTGTGCTAGCATACTGCTAGAATCTGGGGCAGCAGGTCAAGCTGTCTTTGCTGTGCTTTTTTGCATGTAGGTTATAGCAAATTATAGAGATGAGAACACATTTCTTATTCCATTTTTCTTAGACAGATTTGCCCAGCTGGTCAAAACCTTAAAATAAAAAATGACATAGTTTGGTTATTATCATAAAAAACAGGAGTTGTGAGAGGGATAACGAGGGTAGTACTCGTCTTGCGCTAACAAGCCCCGAGAGATTTTGCTTGGTGTCTTTGACAGTGGCTTTCTCTCCCACTCTGCTGCATTGCTGCTGCAGTGAACTCAGACATGATGACAAGATAGTCAAGTGTTGTGTCAGTTAATGAGGCCATTTCTGTCTCAGACAAGATTCCACTTCGCTGTTTTCACTTTCTGTCTCAGCCCCTGTCTGCCACCATAGCTGTATTGTAATAAGAGACACTTTGTACCTTACTCAAGCAAATGAACAGCTGGTACAAATGCTGTGATTGAACCTCTGTGTTTCTGATTAAACTTTATCTATTTCCCCCCTCTCCACTACACTTCTAACTGCAGTTTATGTAACTAGATGATATTTTAATCTCTTAATATCCCATTTTCTCTCTGGTTAGTACCACTGACATGTATATGATTTGGGGGTAATTTCTTCTGTTTGTCTGCTCGTTTTACATGTGGTGTTCCACCAGGGTTAATCCTAGGTCCCTTGATGTTTTCAGTCATATTTTTTTCATTAACATGTTGATGATATTAATGTAATTTTTTGCTTCCTACTGCCTTGTCATTGTCAAATCAAGATATTTTATTTCTTTAGCTCAAAATCAAAATGGTCTCAGTGTCTATCCACTGTCTGTCCAGCATCTGTCTGTCATTCCTTTCACCCTTGATTTGATTGAGGAGAAATGTGCACAAAAACTCAATTTTTGATTGCCACTTATAATAGTAGCTAAAAATCGAAAAAGTAAGTTTTCTGCATAAATCGGTCATGAACCGTGAACTGATCTTCATCAAAGTCACAAATGTAACGCACCCCTTAAACATTCAAAGTGATGGTGGAAAAAAGTAAGGCTCTTGATGTCACTAAATACCAACTGGAGCCAGGTGTTAATGTATGCAGAAAACCAAGAAACTGAAATAGCTTCTTTACTTTTTCCTGCCACTGGTATTTGCTTTCTTGTGAAGAATGAAATGAGAAGATGCCACTGTAGACCATGGTATAAATTATACATTATAGTTTTTGCACAGATTAAAAAAATCACATATACTGTATCATGTCAACTAGTGAGCTTTTGAAGTGCTCACAGTTAGATTTTTTTAAATCGTGTTTTCCTCTACTTTCCTTTCGACAAAGTGTTGCAACTTTTGTTACATTTAGATAATTATTTTTAACACTGTCTCTGTCGTTTTTTGTTTTGCCAGCGTTCTGGTCCTTCATGTGGTTTGTAGGATTCTGTTTCTTGGCCAACCAGTGGCAGGTGACCAAACGTGAGGACAACCCACTGAGGGAGGGAGGGGATGCTGCCAGAGCAGCCATCACCTTCTCATTTTTCTCTATCTTCACCTGGGTAAGAGCCTCCACTGGCCCACTAATAGTTTGACTCTCATTAAAAGTTTGGTATGGTGCTGTGAATGGCATAAGAAGGGAGTGAACACCTACAGCTGTGAAATACCATTCCCGTCTTCCTTTGCTTGCCAGTATATCCTTTGAGCTAGGTAAAGGTCACTTAACCACTGTTTCTTTTGGCTAGTGTGTGGATGTGTGTGAACATTTTAATTTATATTCATGTGAACTTATAAGTGTGTGAATGTTGTTCCAACAGGGCACGCAGGCTCTCTACTCTATGGAGAAGTTAAAGAATGTGTCTTTTGAAGAGGAATACACCAAACTGTTTTCCCCTCAGCCTCATCACTCTTTTGTCTGACTCTGCTGTCTTCTACCTCCTCCTGCCTTAACTCTGTGCAGTTGGTTCTACATGCTCCTTTAGTCATGGCTGCACTTGTTTTAGGGCACCCGGTAACATCAAATACTGCTGGAAGTGAGTGTATTTGTAACCCAGCAATAATAAGAACCATTATACCTTGGCATAAGATGTTGCTCAAGAATTTAGCCTACAGTAGTTAAATAACTTATTTCCTGACCCATGCACATTATAATACTGTATATGTGCTGGTGAGCTGATTCAATATTTGATCAATATCAGTGACTCAACAATTACATTGATAAATGCTGAGGCTTCTGATCTAAAACACCTACTTACATTCCTGAAATCATTTTTGTAAGAAGAGTTTCTGCCATTTTAAAATTTGTCTAACTAAAAGCTAATATTACATATTCATGTAGATTTTTTTCTTGATAAAAGAAGCCAGAAGATGAAGAAAAGCATGCAAGCTAAATGTTGGCCACAGAACCGTATGTGTTCTCCATCTGCTGCGTGGTTCTCTGTTATGGTTTTTACTTCATATATACAGCAGGGAGGTCAGCTGTTTGTCACAGAGGTAGCCAGGTGTATGACGTGTAGGCTACACACTTTGTCCAGCTTCACCACCAAACCTGGAGCCCTTAAACAAGTACAGTCATTAACTACAAGGCAGGCTGCTTCATTCTCATCATTAACACGAAGGTTTACAAAGTCACTGGTGCTTTGTCTTTGTGCTGAAGACTTCTTAATATCAAGAGCAAAGGTTCTATATATATAACATTTTAGTTTTAATGAGTTTTTATAAATTTGCCACACTTTACTGGTTAAAACATGGTCACTAAGTTTTTTGCATTTGTTTTGGTTTTTGATCAAGCGACATTCAAAACCTTTTCCTCAACCTCCTGACACCATACAGTAGAAAGGAATAGTTTGATATTTTGGGAAATACATTTACAGTATGTCTCTTTGCTTTCTGGTGAAGAGTTCAGTGCAAAGACTGATGTCACTCTTATGAAGCTACAGTTAGCAGGTTAGATTTTCTAACCTTCTGACCAAGCCAGGTAAACGGTTTTCCTTTGTTTTCATCCTTATGCTAAGCTATGCTAACTAACCACTGGCTCCAGCTTGATATCACAGACAGACAGGAGAGTGGTAACACTTTTTGTCATCTAACTCTCTGCCCAAAAGTGAATAAACATATTAAACACTCCTTACTCCTTTAATTTCTTCAGTATTGTTTATAAGATTGTTCCTCTAACTATCCATGCACAGCCATACTTTCCATTTCTTTGTTATTTTATGATGTTTTGTAGGTTTTTATATCATTTTTTAGATTGACTTCAAAGTTGGGCAGGTGTTTATGACAGCTTTACTGCATATTGATTGGATTTTTATGGATTCAAACTGTGCATGTTACTGAGCCCTTAATAAGTATTATTATGACTACTATACAAATATATTCCAATTAATTCATATGAACAAAAATCTGAAATAATCAGGGTTCAGTCTGTAAGATGTGTTGTCGTTTGTGTCAAACAAGGGCTGGGGTAACTACAGGTTTTCTAAAAATGTATCAACTGGTTTTCATTTTATGCGAGTGATCACCCTGATATTATGTATATGATCATTTGAGGAACGATAGACCTGAGATAGAGTTGTGTATCCGACAAATTATTCAAGCAGTCTTTTCTGCAACATCTGAATGAGCGGAAACACATCAGTAGATAAAACCTTGTCGTGCAAATTCCCAGAACTCTGAGCTTTGCAGTCTCTCTGTGGTTTTGTCCCTCTCTATGAGTGCCTGTGTTTGCTTTGTGTACTCAGGGTGTCTTTGGCTTCCGTTCATTGTTGCCTTGAAACATCTCTAATTATTGACTAAAGTGAGATTTGTGGTGTTTTATGGTTCAGCTGTTTAATAATGTACACAGACTCAGTTTAATTGCACTGTGGACTAGTCTGCTGTTTCTCACTGAGGAGCTGAACAGTAGATAAATGGCTGTTTGGCACTGTGGCCTATAGAACCTGCTTTGACTGACTAAATGACTCACACAAACTATCTAATAAGTTTCACAAGCTTTCCAGCCAAATAATCAATGTTTCCTATTCTCTCTTTGTTTTCTCTCTTCCTCCAAACCTTCTGCTCTAACACTACCTCAACTCTGCTTCAACATCCATCCCTACACCATTCAATCACCATCTGTGCACCTTCTTTGCCTTCTCGCCCCCCTTGATCTCTGATCATCTGTACAAGGCGGGCCAGTCTTTCCTGGCCTTCCAGAGGTACAAGCTGGGGGCCGACTCGGCTCTTTTCTCCCAGGATTACATGGACCCCAGCCAGGATGCAGCCGGCGCCCCATACACATCCTTCAGCGGGGATGACCTGGAGAGCCCCGGAGGAGGGGGGCAGGCCAACAGCGATGGGGCCTTTGACGGCACCGGAGGCTACCAGCGTCAGGAATACTGAGATGTTTGGGGTAGATATATAGATGGGAGAATCTGGATGAAGTTGCCCAAAGTTTCTAATTTAATTTGTATTGTTTCCATCACACTAAAAATCACTGGGTCAAAACTGAACTAGTTTGGGTCACTGTAGCATTCATGCAATACAACTGGGTTAACTTTACCAAGCACCAATGGGTTGTTTTGACCCAGTGTTAGACACAACTCAGGTTTACCCTAAAATCTAAACAAATGTATCGTTACTGTAAGTGTACAAAGCCATGTGTGTATGAGACACAAAACTGTAAGGTTAAAAGTTTTAAAATAATTGGAGTAGATCATAATAGTTTATCATTTTTGTTTGGATAAGTATCCCAACAGTGATTTAAAGAACGACAAAAAATTTGAAGTATTGTGTGAGTTTTGACGCAGTGATTTTCAGTTTGTACATGCATTTAGCCAATACTCTAGACAGTGAGAGTGATTAGGGGGAAGACATAAGAGAATTTCATATCTTTGACAGTGGAGTTATTGGACTTAAACATCTGTTTGTGTTGGATTAACAGCGGAATCGCGGTCAGAAATCATGGGCAACTTTCCAGATTTGGGGAGGTACGGGTAACAACTGGGGGTGGGACAACAGGTCAATCATGTGTGAGTCTGCAGCAAGAAAAACAGCAATGGAAATACATGGGATGTGGGATGCAGAGAGACACAGGGTTCAACTGGAGGTGTTAGGAAGGACTGAGGGCTTTGGAAACAATTGGGGGGTCAGTGGTGTGCAGAAATGGTCACCCTGTAGCAGGTCAATGTTTGTGACCACATTGCCTTCATCTTCTGAGGTCTGCTGTCAGTCAGCAAAATGACTGCAATTAGTCTTACATGAAACACTCTCAAACACTTACACACGACAGACACTCACACACGTGCACAAGCACAAGTTCACAGCATATTGATTTTGAACAGATACGACAAGGTTCTGCTGATAAAACTCCTTAGAGGTGTGTTACAGGATCAGCATAGGCAGCAGGAAACAGTGGCATTACTGGCAACTAATCCCCTTAACTGTAAACTGGGTGTGTGTTGAAAGGTCTCTTCTGGTTTGTGTGTGTGTGTGTGTGTGTGTGTGCGTGCGAGCATGTGTATTTTCTTGTTTCCAAAATAACCCGCTTTTTATTTTCTCAATTGTTGCCTTAGTGCTGACTGCCAAGCAAAATCCAATGAACACAGGGCAACATAATCCTGACATTCACAGGATCACAGGTCTCTTTTGGGCCATTTCAAGCCAATCCGCAGCTGATTAAATTTTGTCTTGCTTTTGCCCTTAAAGACACACACACAAAAAAACCTTAATGAAAACATTTGACATCATTATAGAGCATCCTAAATGACACACAAATGACATTCATATTAGCAGGCTGACAGAAAGTGAAGAATGCAATTTATTTTTCTGTTTTCCATTTTATTTCAACAAACCTACAGATGTGGCAACCATGAGCATCCTGAGTATTTATGAACATGCATTGCTCCATTTTCTTAAAGTCTAAAGTATATCTATCTCTCTATAAATATATAAATCTTTAATTCAGTATATGAGAGTGTTTGAAAAAAGATTATGCTTTATTTTAAGGCATTATGCTACTTCTGTATAAAAAAAGAAAATCAAGAAGATCTATGGTCTGCTGAGTTATTGTAATAATATATCTGGTGAGGTCTTCAGTGCCTCATCCTTTATGTTGCTTTCAGTAAGGAGATGTTTTTATTTTGGGATAATAACTATAAAAAATAAGCAACAAAAAATGTGACCAAATTATCAAAGTATATATGCATATATATACTTTATACTGTACAACCATAGGCATAGAAATCTGTGACGTTTCTTTGTGAAATCTGTTAAACAAACAATTAAGAAAAGACTGTGTACAAATGTATGTTTTTGATGTGTTTGATTTTAACCAATAAAACTACTGTAAAGATATGAATGACCACTCTGGGATCTTTGGGGTTTTGTTGCCCTTTAATTGTTCTCTGTTATTTATAATATTTAATAACCTGCAAACATGTAGAGAAAGTGTTTTCCAGTGTTGTATCTGGTGTTGGTGATGCAGTGCATTCATCCTACTGTCTAAGAGGGTTGTTTGAGAAGTCAGAAGACATGAGCAATGTTTAGCTTTAATGTCAGTGTGCTATTAATAATATACAACCAGGTTTTCCACCTGTAAAATTGAATTGCTTGTACAGGAAATGTTTGCAGTGTTCCTTGCACATACACACAAAGTAAGCAATTGAAAACCTATCATTTTCAATAGCTTCAGTCCACTGGTGATACTGAGCAGATGCAGTGAGACACAGAAATTTGGCATATGTCTCCCTCCACTGGCAAGACTTCTAACACTACAGTTACATCTTAGTGGAGACTTTGCTTGGATAGTTTTCAATTTGGTGAAATAATAAAGCGTAATTATAATTTGCTCACTCGGCTAATCCACAATTAAACCTGTGGAGAGCAAGAGCGTGAAGCTGCATTGTGGTGGGTTACTTTCTGAATTTAGAGTAATTTCCTGAATTCTAATATGATAAGCTTTAAAAACAGACCCTGAACAAAGGCTATTAATTTAGATGCATCATCCAAATAGGCCTATAGATTAACCGGTCCGGGTTTTATCGATTACTTCCTACTAAATGCAATGACAAGTGTGTTTATCACCCCGAGTCTTGGAATTTTGACATTTTGATGGATCCGTGAACGCAACGAGTCCCTTCCAACATGGCGGCACATCGTAGGAATTTGATGCAGAGCGTAAGAGAAAAGTTAACAGTTTATTACTCCCACTAACCTATATTGTTTCTGTTGAACTATTATGTGCTTTGGTCTAATTTGTCGTTCCCGGTGACCGCATTTGCCTGTTTTTTTCAGTCTTTCAATGATGCTAGTGCTAGCCAATTTAGTTGAGCTTATTCAATGTTTTGCTAACAGTTACCAAGCTAACGTTACTCCAACCTTAATGTCAGAATAGTGATATCTATTAATGTCTAACCCCCAAAGGCAGTTAATATTACATAAAGTATTGACCGATACTAGCTTTTTATTGCCTTGCATATCTTTTACACGCCATGTGTGAATTAGCTCAGGATCAGAGTTGGCTAACAAGCTAATTTGTAAACAAACCACTGTAACCTAAACAGATTACAGGTTTAGACCTGACAGTGACTCGGTGTGAAACGAGGGTCGCTGTAGTATGTTTCGTTGAAAAGATTTCTCAGAAATCTTGCTTTAAAGTGTGGCTTTGTTTAGCTGTTACATTCATGTTCGTAATAACGATGACAGCCATCGCACTGGGATCTGCGGTTCCAAGGACCCTCTGCGGAAACGGTGTTGGTTTCTACTGTAGGCAGGGGAAGTTATAGTCAGAATGCCAATTAATGTAAATATGTTACGTGAAGCATAATAATTTCAGCGAGTACATCTTAAAACCTGTTATTACACTAACCCACATTACCGAGGGCCATTTGTACCTCCCCTGCTGCCGGGTTTGAAGCCTACTTGTGTCAACGTGTTACAATAGTGTAGCATACAGCGATTGCATTGCTTTTAGACAGGGCAAGCCAGTGTAGTTTAATTTGTTTAGGACTTTACAAGTAATCTCGAAGTGCTTTACAATATAGTGCTCACACAAGTAACATGTACAGGACAAAGTCATCAATACAAAATGAAATGTGCCAGAAAGAAACAAACAGGTCACTTCAAAGAAAAAAAAATCAGTGCACAAAAGACCACCTATCCACCAAAGATAGTAGAGAACCCTGAGGTACATACTGTAGTTTTGATTTGGATTTTCCTTGTATACTGCTTTTTCCTTAGCATCAGAGCTGGACAGATGACCTGCCACTGTGTCAGATGTGTGGTGTTGGCACAGCACCCAACTGTGTTTATGGCCCTGATGGGAAAGGAACTCAGAGCCACCCCTATGAGGATGGACACCTCAGGTTCAGGTGAGCCCTCATTAAGAACAGAGAATTAAATAAAAGAGAATAAAAGTAACAGAGTCAACACAGAATAATGTCAGTCCTGGAGTGATAAGTGCTGAGGTGGAAACAGCAGTGATTCGTGTTCAGTACCTACCACACTGACACCTTATTTCAGTATTCACCAGTTAGGGATCACCTGTGTAAATGTGATACAGTAAACGTGTTATGTGAAACATAATAAAGCTATGTTCTTTTCATCCAACTGGTAGCATCATGATAATGATGGTGTCCACTTTAGCAGAAGGTCCCTTGAGCTGGTACAGGTTAAAACTGCATACGTTATGTTAAATAAATGTGTCCCTGTGCTGTGTTTGAAGTCCACAGTTCAACATTCAAGGAGACTTAAAGTTGTAGTTTCTACTCTGGTCTATTTAGTAGAATAGAAATAGAAAAGCATTAGGCCATCAGACCTGTTAACCTTCCAGTTTACACAGTCCTGAGACTTATGGATGTAAGTTGTTTTGTTGTCCAGATTCTGTGTTTCCTCCTTGAATAGAAGTAGAATCCTCATGTTTGTCGTGTTTTGTCCACCAATTAGAGACGAGAATGGCTGTTTCCTGTACGGAGTTTTTAACGGTTATGATGGCAGCAGAGTGGCCAATTTTGTCTCCCAGTGTCTGACAGCTGAACTGCTACTAGGACAGCTCAACTCCATCCACACAGAGAGTGACGTCCGCAAGATCCTCACACAGGTCTGCATATATTTATATCATGTTTTTTAACTCTTCAGCAGTGACACTGATTCTCAGTTATTTCTTTAATATGTATCTATGTTAGACACTGTTGAGATGGAGACTAACTTGGATTGGATGAATTGCCAACACTGTGTTATTTAGAAATAAGTTTTTGTTGCCGCAGGCTTTTGATGTGGTGGAGAAGAGCTACTTTGAAACTATAGATGATGCTCTGGCTGAGAAGGCTCATCTGTCCAACTACCTCCTACCACACAATGAGGTATACACACACACGGCAAAGAATATTGACAGATTTAGCTGAGAAGCGGATTTCTCGGTCGGTTTCCTTAGCAACCACAGATATAGGCCTCATTCTGATCTAATGCCCAGCCATTCATGAATGACTTGGTTATGTTCTAATAGGTCTCAGCCTGTTTGATTAAATGAGCCAGTCTCAGTTTTCACCTCTCTGGATCCAGCACTCCCTGTACTTCTGCCTTGGCTTCGCCCCCTCGCTCTTTTTCTCCTCGTACCAGTCATCAGTCATGCCTCCTCTATTTTTATAGTTTCACACCATGTTGTATTCAGTTCTGATACTGCTGCTTGTGTGGGTGTTTTTGTAAGATGATCTTAGTTACATGTTGTAGCAATAAGATGTTTCAATAAGAACATCTGGTTCTAATGTCCTTTTCTCTGTTCTCATGTTACTCTTTTCTGGTTTGCTTTTCTGTTTCTCTCACATTCACCTGTATTCTTAACATCGCTTTAACTTTTTCATCTCCCCACCTGTTTCCTCCTTTTTCTCCTCCATCACACTGCCCTTTCCTCTTGCTTCCACTTGTCTCTCATCTCATCTCATGTTTCTTGCTCAATGCTTTTATTTTTCACCTCTTCTTTTATTATTTGTCTCATTCTTTTTTCTCTTTCCATCTGCCTGCTCCTACTTGCTTATCTTACTCATCATCCCCCCGTTACTTCTCCTTCCCTTTCTTTCTCTCTCTTCAGAATGTGTCATTCCACCAGCTTTCTCCTCAGAGTCAGAAGATGCAGGAGCGTCTGAAGGAGTTGGAGCAGGAGGTGTCAGGAGGAGCTACAGCTGTAGTGGCACTGATCCTCAACAACAAGCTCTACATCGCCAATGTTGGTACGGTCACACACATTTTTACTCGGGCTTGATAACTTCTGACTTTATAGTAATAAATGTTTAGTTCTAATGCAGATCAATCATAAGCAGCATATACAGTTAGGCACTAGGACAGAAATACTGTATACACCTCATCTCTTACCTTTAATTTTCATCTTTTTGTAGTGCCAATAAACCAGACCAGCCAATAGCAAACGGCCACTTCAGAATCTGCTTTACACCAGTAGATGTCAGGCTTCAGTCAGATTAGGATTTGGGGTTTGGTCATTATTTGAAAATATCAGTCAGATCTCAGAATTAAATTTCAGACCATGTTCTGATTTCATTGGCCTTTCGGCAGCTGTTGGAACCATATTGACACTCTTGACTGAAAACATACCTACAGGTACATCATTTGTTTTTACATCTCTTGTGCTAGATCAGGATCCTACAGACAACAGCCGCAGGAACAGTTAATAAACACATACATCTGAGTGTATGCGTTTATTAACGTACACATGTGTGTTTGTGTGTCCACATTCCTGCCTGACACCTTAAGCTGCAGAACAGAAAAGAAGATCCTGTCATTAATATTTTACTACACCAGCCTGATGGCTGAAGATGTTCAGATGATACTGTGGGAGGCAGTCACACACACACACGTACACACAGCAACCCTGAGGAGCAAGAGTCATTCACAGTATGTCTATTCAAGAATTACGCGAGTTAATCATATCAAGTGCCAGTCTCCAGCTGCTGGAGCTTGGCTTGTTTTATGTAACTGGGCACTGTGGCTCTTCGTACCCCTGCTTGATTTAATCAGCAGTCGGGGGTTTGAATGTTATAGTGCTGCATTTATTTTGACTGGCTACGAGTCTTTCTGAAATTCCCTAAATATAAGGTTTCACTTTTTTAAGTACATGATTGATTCTGTAAAAGGCAAAGGGAGTGCCCCTTACCCTCCCTCTGGGATTTCATTTTGTTCTTTTGTCCTCAAGGACATGACACAGAGCAGAAAATGGAGGGTAGTAATTACTAGCAGGTAGAAAGCAGGACCGTACTCCTCACTCGCCTGTTGATGTGAGGGGTCAAGGGTTCAAACTTGACAGAACATGAATACCAGGAGGTTTAAACCTAAGAGTAAGGGTAGTGTAAAAATCACTCCCAGCTGTGTGTTGATGTGAACTATATTTGACAGTTAAGGTCATATGACCCACAATTTGATAGGCTCGGAGTGGGATGTGAGTGGGGGGCAGTCAAGTATAACATACAACAGATGTGGCTCGCTATTCTTTGCAGATAAGTAGCATAGAAACTGTATTTTTGCACATATAAATGTGATAACCAGGCTTATCAAATGGGCACACAGTGTTTTGTAACTAAGAGATCTGTTTTAAACACCAAAATGTCCCATCATCACTGCCTGTTTGACACAAAGAGTTGTAGGACTGAAGCCCAGGGCCCCACAGACAGGGCACAGAGAGCCACATTGGCCCCTCCTTACAACTGCAGTGCAGTGTGTCCAGTTAGATTCAGTTAAATGAGTGGCACACAAATCCAGGAATTTACAGAACATAAAAGTTGGGTGGAGGTGGGTGGTGAACTGGCCCTGTATCACGTGTCTGCTCAGTGACCCAGATATGTTAATATTAAATTGGGGGAATCATTAATCTATACCTGGTCATCATATGTGTCAGCAAGTGCCTCCATCAGCCGTGGTAGTGCCACAGTATCTTGGCTGCCTTGGTCGTGGTTTGGGTCTATGAGTCTCCTCAGAGCAACACCGGTGCACTTTTGCATGATTAATGTGTGGAAAGATAAAAAGGCATAATGTCTCACAAATATGACTGTTGGTCAAAGAAGAAGACAATTCTAAGGAACTTTCACATTTACATATTGAGATGAACACATTTCAGTGTAATGCAGACCAGTGCAACACCACTACCACTTGATTTACCATGAAATGAAAAATATCCTAATTTAATTCTGACTCTATAGATTAATATTTCCTCATCCCACTGGCAGCTGTCCAAGCCAGTAGGTTTTACTAAAGGAATTGATTTAGTCCAGAATCGGTTTTACCATGTGTAACAGTTGACTCACCTCACATACTTAATTAAAAGTTCAGGCCATAATCTCCTTTCACCAGTTTCTGAATTTATGAATATGTAAGTTTCTCTGTGGTTCCAGGTACCAACAGGGCACTGTTGTGCAAGTCGAGCAGCGATGGCCAGAACCAGGTTCTCCAGATCAGCCGACCTCACGGCATCGACAATGAGGATGAGCTGCAGAGACTGGCTGCGCTTGGTGAGACGCACAGAGACAGTTATACATACACCTTTCCCTTTAAAACAGACACTCAGTAGTTGACTCTGTAGGGAGGACTAAATTAGGAATCACTGTCATCTTAGCAGAAAGTCGTTGCTTTTTCTTTTTGGACTCAACAAGAGAGGAATTACAGTAATCCCAACAAAGACAAAAATGCTTCACACTGGTCAAAGTGAATACCAATCGAGTGAGCTGGACATTGTGTGTGGAGTGCCTCAGGGTTCTGTTTTGGGACCTAAATTATTTATATTGTATATTAATGATATATGTAAGGTTTCTGATTTAGTGAAAGTGGTTTTGTTTGCTGATGACACTACCACATGGGCATCGGGTGAAAACCTACAGCAACTATTTGGATGAGTTACACAAGAACTTGAGAAGATAAAGAAATGGTGTGACAGTAATATAGTATCTCTGAATTTGGATAAAACTAAATTTATGGTATTTGGGATACTGCTTGCAAACCAATGATGGTAAGATGATGTCATGGGGTAGGACTGGATAAGTCTGACTTCTTCCTACTCCATTCAAGCATGTACTAGGTATAAGCAAATTGATATTGGATTATGTGTATGTGTGTTGTCATATCAACTGTTTTACATGCTTGAAAGAATAAATCAAATCAAATCAAATCAAAGTTGAAAAAATTAAAAGTTAATTTAGTTTGTTGATTTTAATATTCTCTCATTCTTTCATTTTAGTTGAGATTCAGCTTTGAATATAAACTGGATTTTGTTCTACCATTTATTTCAGTTTTTTTTTTTGTGTAGTTAACCGGTTCTTTATCTTGGTCACATTGGTATTTGACACAGTACATTCAGCCAGGCCTTACATTATAAGCTGACAGCCATTAGTGCAAACTGGTTGGCACAGAGACACTTATGGAGCCGTCCAGTCACAGTGGACAGCTAAGCTAATGGCCCACTAATGAGAGCTTTGTATAGAACAGAAAATGTATACATTATGATGGGGTTTGCAGGAGAAACATTAGGTGCAGCCTGGCAGCTGAGGTGGATACAGTGGGGAATCATCTGCAGTGTGTCGCAGTGTTTTTCAGCCCCGTCTCTTTCTGTCATATGTTGCTCCCCCTCCTACCGTCCTAAGCTCAGCCCCTGGCTGTCTTCACTTTCTGCTCCACCCTGTCTCCAATGTCTCTCCTCTCCTCTAGGTGTGGACTCTGCTCGTGTAAAACAGGCAGGGCAGATAGCGGGACAGAGTAGCACAAGGAGGTTCGGGGACTACAGGGTCAAATTCAACTACAACGAAATCGACCTGCTCAGGTGAAGCCACAGTTCACAAACTACAAATACACATAATGTACATACTGTACCCGGTTAGATCCGGATCCCACAGTCACCTTATTGTGCCATTTGGTGGTTCCTTGATTTTTCTTCACTTATGTTATAGTGGCATTTTGTCCACTTATCAAATGGAAAAAACAAAACAAAAACAACCCTAGAACATGTAATGCTTTAAAACGCCTAAACTGTCCACCAGTAGTCATCTAGAAATCAAACCTCCAGGTGCTGGCTGTACATCTCCTCCTGGCCACATTTTGATGTCTGTCTTTACAAATAGGTTTTCTTATTAAAAAGACTGAAATACAACTTTGATGAAGTGCATATAGAACATATTTCTTTAGATAACAAAGTTTATATTTTTGATAAATTGGTTTGCTGATTTTTCTTCAAATAAGAAGCTAGTTTTTGCTCTTTTTAAAGTTTGAATATTTGCCAACCAGCACAGCTAAAGCTCACTAATTAACACATTATATCTTGTTTCTATATTCCACAAACAGAAATAGAAAACCAACTTGTTGTATTGTTACAGGAAGTTACTGTAAGTGCTGTATGGCCACAGTGACTTTCTTCAGTCTCTTTGTCTGATGGTGATAATCAAACAAACGACATAAAGCATGTTAATAAGTCGGGCTTAGAGGTGCTGGTATATAGGTTTTTGAAACTTTGCACAGAGCTCAGTGAGCTGTTTGCCTCTGTTCCCAGACCTTCTGCTAAGTGCCTGCCTGATCTAGCTTGAAATCTTCCAGACAGACATAAGAGTGGTGTCAATCCTCTCATTTCCCACTCAGCCAGAAAGCAAATAAGTTGAGCTGTTCCTTTAGGACCTGTGGTTCCAGGGGAACTGGGTCAGCTAATGAAACATTTGTCCCTTTTTGACTCTGTCGCTGTGTGTATTCAGCAGAACTTGAACAGTGGAGGCTCTGTCGTCATGTTATGGTCTTTATTATTAGATCAGACTCAGCTCTAGTCCTCTCTTTTACCACAGCTGAACCTCTTGAAATTCCATGATCCGGGGTCCTCGTCTCTCACACTGCTCATTTCCTTTTGCTGTCTGCTGTGCAGGCCAAGCAAATCAGGCTCACAAGTCATTCCAATTACCCTCAATAAAACACACAATAGAATCTTTATAGAATTTTGTCCTTAGATATTCTTCTCCTTTTCTTCTCCTCCTCCACCTCCAGTGCGGCCAAGTCCAGGCCAGTCATCGCTGAGCCAGAGATTTGTGGCAGCCAGTGTTTGGACGACGTCTCGGGCTTCCTGTTGCTGATGTCAGAAGGTCTAGTCAATGCACTCGAATCCGCACACGGCCCAGAGCAAGTCAACCAGGTTAGCAGATTCGTCCTGACTCTTTCTTCTCTCCTCAGCTGCTCTCCTACCACTTGTTTTTGGTGTCTTTTTTTAATCTCTGCCTTAATGTTCCTCTTCCTTTTCTTGCAGCCCACCTACTCCGATTTTCGTATTTACTATTTTAAGACTGAATCAGCTTTTTCTTTGCTTTGCATTCCTTCCTTCCTCTGCTTCTCTCTAGACATCCTTATTTCACCTTCTTATTGGTGTCATCTTTGTGTTACTATTTCTTGCCCCTTCTTGTCCTGTTTTTTTGGACACTGTTGGTCTGAGTGTCTACTGCTTTTTGTCCTGTCTCACTTTGCTGTATTTTTTCCAAGCTTTCTTTTTGTCCCCTTCATCTTCTTTAGTTCTTTAACTCTTAACGTCAGTATCCCGTGTGTTGTTCTCTGACTCCCTGTTTCCTCTGCTGTCTACTGTAGGAAATCGTTGCCATGGTAGCAGCAGAGCTGGCCCAACAGACCAACCTGGAGGCAGTGGCACAGTCGGTGGTGGAGCGCATTAGACGACTGCATCATGACGTCTACGTGTCTGGCCGTCAGAGGGCATCCTTGTGTTCTCGGCACGAGGACATGACCATACTCATCCGCACGCTCAACTACTCCCTAGCTGATGCGGCACTCACACCCACACAGGGTAGGAAAGGGCGTTATAAGATAGGGTCACATGTCACAGAGAGCCTGGAACGCCACCGTTAGAATTTAGAGACATATGAAAAATGCAGATTCATACAAAATGTTACAAATCATAAAACTTTCTGGTTTATCTATGTCTGAGCAGCCAGGCTTTAGAAATAGAAATGAGAGCTTTTGAGAAGTGTTGCCAACAATACCACATAAAGCCACAATAACAAGGTCTAGGCAGAAAATAAGGTTTAAAATTAGTCCAGGTTCCCAAGATGCCCATTTTATGCTGAGCCTCCACACTACAGTCTGTCTTGATAATGGTACTTGTGAAAAGTAAAACAGAACAACATTGGTGTGGCGCAGACATTTTTATTTCAAAACAGCTGAACAGCAGCTTTTATCTCATTATATGGTGAACCTAATAAATGGCTCTGAGAGGAACAGTTTTTCTGTTTTATTTTTTCTCATTTCTTTATGTAAAACTTTATATGTCCCTGTCGTCCTCTCAGGTGGTCGTATCTACCCTGTGTCTGTGCCCTACTCTAACAGTCAGAGCACCAGTAAAACCAGTGTCACCCTCTCACTGGTCATGCCCTCCCAAAGTACCCTCACCAATGGAACCAACACTGCCTCCACCCTGGAGGAAGGCACCCCCACACCAGGGTGAGCTTAGTTTGTCTCTTGTTTGTTCTAGGTAAACCTTTTCTCCTCTGTCTCCATTGTTTGGTCTGGGTAGGCTTGTTTTTACTCTACTACATCTGCTCTCCAGCTGTGCATGTCTTCATTTAGTTAGATTTTTGCTGCTGTTTCTACTTCATCAAATGGTGCCACCACTCTTCTGTTCACTCTTGAGCGTTATTGCAGGCTCCACACTTTCCTCCTGACTGTGAAGTTTATTTTGGTTGTATTTAAGATAAGCAAGGTTTCCAACTCCCTTGTCCCTCCCTTGCTGTATTTATTTTAGGTAAGCTTCATTTTCACTCCCCTATGTCCCTCCACTGCTGTGCTTGTTTATGTGTAAGCACACTTTTATTTTCCCATATCTGCTGCTGTGGGTTCTCTGTATCGTGCCACAGTCTGCTTCACAGAAAGTGATCAAGTACAGCTGTAAAAACACTGACCTTTGTCATAAGCATATGATATACACAATATACAATAGTGTTTAGGTATATAATAAAGAATATAACATCAGCTATCATTTTTACTGTGATTTACTGTTTGACAGAAAATAGGAACCCATTCATGATTTTCCAAAGAATTAGTAATTAAACAAATTGCTGCTTAAATATCGGTGTTAAAAAGTAAGTGCCACAGAGTTACATGTGCTGCCAACCTCTGGTGACAACACACACTCCAGCCTTTACGGCACTGATGCCGAATGGCACTGTAGTTGCATCACAACTAGGTGAGGACA